GCCTCCCACCCTCCCGTGTGTGCTCTGCGCTATAATGAGATGCCAGAGTGCCGAGCGCTTCAAGTGCTGCTTTAAAAGTGTTGTCATAACAACAGGGATGTAGTGACGAATGTAACTCGGGTTGGAAAGGACGGCCTGCCGTTACCTCCCTGGGGCCAGGGCCTCCAGCACCTCCCAGCCCAGCGAGGGCCGGGCCCCACGCACGCCATCGGTCCGTGTGCTAGCTGTATTTTCTTTTCTTTTTAAAAAAATATATTTTATTGATTTTTTACAGAAAGGAAGGGAGAGGGATAGAGAGTTAGAAATATCCATCAGCTGTCTCCTGCACACCCCTTACTGGGGATGTGCCCGCAACCAAGGTACATGCCCTTGACCGGAATCGAACCTGGGACCCTTCAGTCCACAGGCCGACGCTCTGTCCACTGAGCCAAACCAGTTAGGGCTGTATTTTCTTTTTTAAAATATTTTTTATTGATTTCAGAGAGAGAAACCTCAATGTTGAGAATCATTAATCAGCTGCCTCCTGCACGCCCTGTACTGGGGATGGAGCCCACAACCGGGGCCTGTGCCCTGACCGGGAATCAAACGCTGACCTCCTGGTTCAGAGGTCGACGCTCAACCACTGAGCCACACCGGCCGGGCTGAGCTGTATTTTCCTGCCTGTTCGGGGGCCAGGGATCAATGAACCGACCGTAGGAAATACGTATTCATTCGATCGGGAGGCTGTGTCGGAATAGCTTTCAGATAACGCCCTATCCTCCCTCTGAGGCTTCATAGATAAGTCCCGGTTCCGTGTTCTACTGCCTCCCGTGCCCGTTAGCGAACTCCGTGTCAGGCACACGTGCTGGGCAAGGGAACAAGTACGTCACATCCTCCCAGACCCTCTCGGGTGCCTCCAGGATTTCCAAAGATGGAGCTCAGTTCTTACGGCTCGTCAGCCTGGTGGCTCCCAGCGAAGATGTCGGTGCCCAGCTGACGCTGTTCGTTAGCAAAGAGGCCGCCACCGCCACGCTCGGGAGGAACGGGCTGCCGGGGAACGCCTGGGGATCCGGAGCGCCAGGCGGGCCGTTCCCTCCACACCCGAGCCTTGGCTTTGAATCCGGCACCAGACAAGGGGGTTGGTGGTGGGCGCAGGTTGCTCTCAGCAGCAGCCGCCCAGCTGCCTGTGAGGCCCACGCTCTAAGAAATGCCTCCCCTCTGATGCTCATGGGCTCGGTGGGGTGTCACATAAACGCATGCAGACCCCTGGGCAGGCCGGCTTATTGCCGACAGCATCCACCTCCGCGGAGGCACAGGAGGCTCAGAGCAGCCGGAACAGCTGGTCCTGCTCCCGTGTGCACGTCGTTCCCGTGTTCATGCCATTCCCGTGTGCACGTCGTTCCCGTGTGCAAGTCGTTCCCGTGTGCACGCCGTTCCCGTGTGCACGTCGTCCCCGTGTGCACGTCGTCCCCGTGTGCACGTCGTTCCCGTGTGCATGTTGTTCCCGTGTGCACGTCGTTCCCGTGTGCACGTCGTTCCCGTGTGCACGCCGTTCCCGTGTGCACGTCGTTCCCGTGTGCACATCGTTCCCGTGTGCACGTCGTTCACACGCAGATCCCGAGTGCACGTCATTCCCGTGTACACGTCGTTCCAGTGTGCACGTCCTTCCCGTGTGCACGTGGATCCCGTGTGCACATCGATCCCGTGTGCATGTTGTTCCCGTGTGCACGTCGTTCCCGTGTGCACGTAGAACCCGTAAGCACGTAGTTCCCGAGTGCACGACGTTCACGTGTACATGACGTTCCCGAGTGCACGTCGTTTATGTGTGCATGTGGATCGCGTGTGCACGTCGATCACGTGTGCATGTCAGTACCCGTGTGCACGTCGATCCCGTGTGCACGTCAGATCCCGAATGCACATCGTACCCGTGTGAACGTCGTATCACGTCGACTGCATGTGCACATCAATCGTGTACTCACGTCGAACCGTACGCACGTCGTACCGTGCCATATACGATAACGAGAACATGTCAAAACC